GGGGGGGATGAACATGAAGGCGGACGCTTAGACTCACTTGCGTGGGCTACGGGTTCTGGAAACACTCGGTGGTCGGGGTTTTGGCCGAATGCAGTCGAAACCCTTAGCGTTCAGCTCACCACCATCTCCACAATGTGAGCGTGGCGGCTGCGCAGGCGGTTATGGCTGTCATGGAAGCAAACACTCAATCACGTGAGGCTGGGCTGGTTGAACGAAATGCGGCTCTAGCAGTTGCCAATTAACAAATGAGGCTGATGACAGAAATTGGTGGACTGAGTCAATGAGAGTTACACGGAGGAGGTTCCGCAGCAGGTTCCGGAGGAAGGTTCCGGAGGAGGTTCCACATCATGGGTGGTGGCTATCTTCCTGCAGTGTTTTTGTCCGAACTTTGCTGGGAAAAACCAAGGTCAAGGAACCCACCCAGACATTTTCATTGGCGGCATCTCGTGAATGGAAAAATCAATGAACTTGTGGCATTGTTGCTCCCGGCCCTGGTGAAGAATCGGCATAAGGAGGTGTGTGTTTGGGTGTAGGGATGGCGGAAGCGACTGGTTGAACCGTTGCAGCCCCCAAAAATATTTTAAAACATTGTAACGTTTTTGATTTTTGCGCAAAAAATTGCGCTGAAGCAGGGCTGCAGGCTTGGAAGTTGAGGGACCAAGGAGCAGCTTGTGCTACCATGACTCCCGTTCGCAATCTGGAAGTGGACAGGGGGCCTAGTGAAGATATCGAGGACATTGACATGTTTGCGGCGTATTTTTGTGAGAAAGGTAAGGGACGGAAGGAATCACTTCACTTGCTGCAGCTGTTCCCGAGCTTTGGCTGTCATCACTGGAGTGCCCTGGGCGGTTTCCGGTTGGGAACTCAGGTTTCGGCAATGGGGCTTCCGAGTGTGTGGGCTTTTGCGGCTTGGATTCAGCTGGTGCAAGGAGTAGGGGTACCCTTGGATGACTGCCAGGACGTGCTGGGTTAGTTGACCAATTTTTGAAAACACAACCTGCCACACACCAGGCAACCACACACACAAACACAGCTGAAATCGTTCTTGTGCGCAAAAATTCCAAAACTTGAAACTCACGGGTCTTGGGAAGGACTGCAGCTTGAACGTCTTGCAGATGAAGGCCTCCAAGAGCTCAAAAGAGGCATGGGGAGAGCATGGTTATTGCCACGGACCTCGTGGAGATCGCTGGTGTGACGCCTATTCTGAACATGAATGTCGCATGGCTGGAGTGGGCAGAGCAGTGAAACGAGAGTTTCTGTAAAGGCGTTTCAGCGTAGTGTCTCAAAAGGCCCTATTTCATGTGAGGCACGTGGTTCTTGACAGGTTAACGAAAGCATTCTGGGCAAACCTCTCCAATGTAAATGCTGCATGCTTGACTTTCGAACGGACGAGTCGTGCAACCTAATCATATGCACTTGAGGCTTTCACCTTGCTTGATCATGTCCTATACCTTCCCAGGCCGTGACCGCAGGGACAAGGGCTGCGAATGGAGGCAGGCCGAGGAAGTGAGGCACATGAAGCGTGGAGCATGCAATCCGACAGGGGTGCAGGTGCACAAGTCCTGTTCCGGAGACCAAGGCCTTTGCTCATCGATCCCCGGTTGTTTTTGGACTCCAGGCATGTCCATTGAACCCATCGGCAGCCCGGGGTTTGGCCGTAACGACTTCAACAATCCGATGGCGGGGATGTGTACGGGCATGCCGATGTACAACCAGGAAGTTAACTGCATGGGTTTGTCAGAGGGCTTGTGCCGATCGCATGTTGGCCAATGTAGCTGGGATGAATTTACATCCTGAGACGCGTATCGGCATAGTTGAGAGGTCACATCCCTTGCAAGAGACAAGAGTTGGACCATTTCAACAAAAGGGTGATGAAAAAGTGTGAGGAGAATTCGGTTCAGTCGGAATTGTTGATGAACTGTCGAACTGTGAGCTGGATTGTTATTTTGCGGGCTAGTGAGTTTGTCCAGTTGTGTCGTGTCGAGTTGTGTTGGTATTCCATCAAATTCTTTTTCGCGGACGGGTTTCGTTTCAGCTTCTGTGCTCTCAGGCCGGCCTACCAAAGAACAAAACCCCGCAGTTTTGGACCAAATGGAAATACCGCAGTTGCAGTACTCTTGACAAATACAATTTTTGCGTTTAGCGGCGAAGCGCGCCTCCAACGTGGGCCACCAGACTGTATTGAGGTGCCTAGACTTGGTGAACATACTGCAGTCCCCAACCCATTGGCATAAGGTATACAGTAAAGTCTAAAGAAACAAATACAGGTTTGTGAACCTGGAGTTCCAACGGCTAACTATATAAAAGTCGTCACTACAACCGAGGTCACAGGCCATGCCGTCAGCTATGATATGTTGGTTGGTCACAATTGTGCCGCCACCGCCCTTGTTGACCCACGCTTTGAGCCCATCCACATTAAGCAAGGCAGGGAAAGTGCACCCGAGTGAGTAGAGAGTAAGACTGAGCGATAATGAGCGGTGAAAAAGGAAACCTGAAGAGGAGAGACGTGCTGTGTTCTTTTTGTTTTCTGTCGTGCCTGGTGGGCAATGATTTGTTTTCAGCCTTCGGGATGCCCACCAAAACAAACAAACAGCTTTGGAACACCTCACGTAATGTACGCAGAGAATCTGGCAGCAAAGAGCGCCTATGTATCCTTTTGGCGGCCACCTGCTGGGAGGGATCACTTGCTTGCTTGTTTGGTTGTTTGCTTGTTTTTGTTTGGTTTTGTTAGTTTAGTTTATATAGTTTAGTTTAGTTAGTTAGTTAGTTTGGTTCGTTGGTTGGTTGGTTGGTTTGTTTGTTTGTTTTCTTTTTTTTGGTGCTTGTTTTTTCTTTGGTGGTTGTTTGTTTGTTGGTTTGGTTTGGTTTGGTTTTGTTTGTTCGTTTGGGCTTGTTTGGTTTTGTTTGGTTTGGTTTGTTTTGTTTTGGGTTGGGTTGGGTTTAGTTGGGTGCCGAATTGGATTGCGCCCAGCAGGAATCATAAGACTGCATGCCTATGAGTTGAACACAGGCTTCCTTCTGACACTTGCCGGTTATATAGTTCCTGAGCCTTCCGCGTTTTTGTGCCATGCCCGAAGACCAGGGGGGTCATGACCCGTGGCGGCAAGAAGCTGTGCAAATGCAAAAGGATGACCCGGAACTGACAATTTCCCAGATCGCAGCGAGGTTGAACAAGCCAGTGAAAACTGTGAAGAGTGCTTTGGCCAATGCCAGGAAAAAAGAGGCCTTGGCCAAGTCCGAGAAGGGTTCGCAAGGCTATTCAAAGGAGGGCAGAAATGACAATGACAAGGCAAATTTGTTGCCCTACCAGATAGCTCCTATTCCAGGTAAAGGCCTTGGACTTGTGGCTACTCGCAAGATTTGCCGTGGAGAGCTCATAGTTCAGGAAAAGCCGGTGCTGACAGCTTCTGGAGGTCTGGTGGGGTTTGCACTCAAGCAGCTCCAAACGCAATTTGACCAGCTCAGCTCTTCAGTGCAAGATGAGATTATGGTTTTGTATGATAAACATGCACCTGATGGAGTTGGAAAGACCCTTTCTGGAGTGTTTTCAACCAATGCCTTGCCGCAGGGGGTGGGCTCGCCAGATGCAGCACTGTGCCTTGTGATCAGCCGAGCCAACCACTCTTGCATCAGCAATGCCTACCACGGTTGGGTGGACGGACGTGAAAGGCTGTACTGTGACACAGACATAGAAAGTGGCGAAGAGATTTGCACAAACTACATCCAGTGGCATAGGACCACCATCCAACGGCAAGATGCATTGCAAGCCCAATTCGGCTTTTTGTGTGGGTGTCCCGCTTGCATGGAAGAAGAAACTTTGCGCAAGAAACATGATGCAATTCGCTGTCAGATCGGGGAGTTGGATGAAGCCATTCCAGAACTTGCATTTTCACCTAGCAAAGCAGTCGCTTTAGTGGAAAAAGTGCTCGGATTGTATGAGCAGCTTGGCAGACCTGTTCCACATGCGGCTGAACAACGACATTGCTATGACGCATTTCAACTGTCACTTTCAGAGGGGAACATGCAGGCAGCGAAACGATGGATTCGGCGAGCATACAACGCCAGTGTGGTCACAGATGGAATGACTTCCCCAGGAACTTTGAGGTTTCAGCGATTCATGAAAAATCCTATGAGCAGGATGCAAGATGGGCCATGCGTTTAGAGTCTACAGTGATGAAGTCTATACATAAACATGTGCGTTGATGAGGTGAGCTGCGGACTACAAATTGGCGCTTGAAGATGCAGTTCGCTTCTACCGGCACTATTGGGTACTGTCATTATGTTCCTATTGCTGCAATGCCAAGGGCCCATTCATTTCGTTCATTCCCTGCTTTTGGGTGCTTCTCGAGAAATTCCCATTCCATGTTCAACGGGATCCATTGGGACTTTTCTAAGCCAAAAGGCGCTGAGGAAACTCTTTCTTTGATCTCTTGAATCCATGTTCGTAGGCACGGTGATATGTTTAAAAACTGTGTACTGTATATGTAGCCCATGGAATAGGTACCAATCAAGTTGTTCCAGGTGCAGACACAAAAAAAGCACTGGAACATTTGTAGAGCAGAGAATCCAGCAATGTCAGAGATCAAGACTTCTGAATGCTAACTCGGTTTTGAGCATTCAGTGTTGCTGCACTGCATGGTAGCGTTTTCGTTGTGTTGGGAGTGATCACTTGTTTGTGGCATGGCCCTCAACCTCACACTAGCCTCATGGCTCTCATGAGTTTGGTGCCTGAACAATCCTTGAGCAGACAAGGGTGCAGAAAGAACCATAGACGAATACAGGAGATGTTGCAGAAGTTGCAAAAAATTGTGATTTTGGAGACCAACACCGCTACAAACGCCACCATGCACACAACAATGACAGCATTGTAACTTACAAGTGTGGCAGAATCGTCTCAGATTTCTGAATTTTTTGGTGGGCCCATGTGCTTGGAAATGGTATTCCCGGCATGTTGTTTGCCCTTGCATGGTCAGTTGTGGACGTCGATCATTCTCAGGCAGAGTGGGATGCTACCTGCGAGCCCCTCCCGCTACATCCAAGCAGCTTGGCAGCAATTGTCAATGTCGATTTTGAAGAGGGGTTGTTGTATTGATTAGTTCGATGGGTGGCACGCTCGCGGTGCAACATTCTGCCTGACCGTGTGTGACTGAGTGCATGTTACGCTTGCCGAGCGCTATTTGTGGTGCCTCGCTGTCTCTGTTCCTCACAACTCATGCTTGGCTGGTGCCCAGGCTCGCACACTGCCAGGCACCGGGCTAGAAGCTGTGCCCAGAGCTCATGGCATGAAGACGGAAACCCTTCTTCCACTCTGGTTGCAGCACCAGGGGTAGTTACTCTGAAACCGGCCAGTTACACTGTACTGTACTGAGGCCAAAGAGGCACACAATCGGCACCCATGAGACTGGCTACTACATTTCAAGAGGCCAGTAGACAAGAAAGGATGAGATTGAATATAGTTGCGTTGTGCTGGCATGGCGCAAAGAGGCATCCTTTTGCAGTAGTGGTCTGCTTCGAGCCGAGGATTCAGCCAGCCCTTTGGTGCTAGGGCGGCCCCTGTAACGCGGCTGGAACGAAGCACCAGTCCT